GTAGCCCAGGCTGGCCTCGAACTCACAGAGATCCGCCTGGCTCTGCCTCCCGAGTGCTGGGATTAAAGGCGTGCGCCACCACCGCCCGGCGCATGCTCTTAATTTTGAGGGCTGGAATTTGGGGGGCAAACTGTTCACATATGGAGTTTAATTTGTAAACATCCCTCATGTAAGCAGTATCGTAATTTCCCTGTGAAAAATGTGTCAACGTGATTTTGCAAGGTTGTATAGCGTTAAAGTCTTTGATTCTGTTGGTTTTGCTTTTCTTAGGTTTATGATGAAATTGAAATTTTTCCCCTCAATGTGTACGATGTGCAGCTAACCAAGACTGGGAACATGACTGACTTCGGTGAGTGTCAGGAGTCCTCTCCCGACCCCAGAAGTTCATCCTGCCTTTTGCCCCCCCCTTTCATTATCATTTATTTATTGTAACAGGATGGCCTGGTACATATCAATATTGGGGGAGATGCAAGACAATTGCAGGAAATAATATATAAGTTGCCAAGGAATGTGACATGCTTGTGGCAGTGCTAACACAGTGAATTAACTGTGCTTGGGGCTACTCTGAGGTTCACCCAGAAGCCAGACAAAGCTTCTTTGATCCATTTGTTGATTTTGTGCATGTCTGCCATATACATGCAGTTCATGAAGATGCTAGAAGAGGGCGTCTGATCCCTTGGGTTTGGAATTACAAACAGTTGTGAGCTGCCCAGCTTGTATGCTAGGAGCAGAATGTGGGTCCTCTGGAAGAACAACAGTGGTCTTAACCACTGAGCCATCTCTCCAGCACTGTCAGGCTTCTTTTCCGATCTAGAATCTTATCCACCTGGAATGCTGTTCGTCCCCAAACCCCTCTCCCAGGATTGACATGTTACTGGCCCTTCAAGAACACTTGCATGATCTAAGTGGCATAGGCCTGATCCGTTTGCTTTATCTCCCTCTGGCCTGAGTTTAACAATTAGGGGTCAGCGTCTGTGTTTAACTCCTATTTTCCTTAGTCTTTATCGAAACGCAGCTCTAAGGTCTCTGTAGACTTTGTTGATGTCCCCAAGAGCACCTTAGCCTTTTATTGCCTGTACCAGGAGAAGTCAGTAATTAGATCAAGGCTGACGGCTGCCTCCACAGAAAAGCTGTTTTGGTCATGTTAAAAATATTGCCACACATAGATACTTGCTTTAAAATAATCCAAGTAGCTAATATGTTAAAATTCCCTTCTTTTGGACTCTGTCCTTAATTATATGATCAGCTGTGTTGGTTCATTTTGAGACAGAGTCTCACTTTGTAGCCCACACTGGCCTGGGATCCCAGGATATCCTCAAAACTCATAGTGATCCTCCTGCCTTAGCCTCCCCAGTGCTGAGAACTGAGAACGTCTATGTCCACTGTAGGCTTGTGTTGCTTGATTGTAAGTTGGCAAAGAGGCCTTTCAAACAAAGCCAACTTCCTCTTGGCATTTGCTTCCCATGGCCACGAAGTCTTCTTCCCGTCTGAGTGAATGAGTGTGGTCACAGATTCTGCTTGAGGCTTAGAGAAAACACAGGGGACAGAGGACACTTGCCCTGTCCTCCAGGAGCTCATAGAATTGGGGAACCCGAATGTGGAAGTATAGTCTCCACCATGGCGGCGATGGTGGGTACAAAACCCAGTACATGCATTCCAAACAGGACATGTACTGGATTTTGCATGTTACATCTATGTAAATAAAGCACTGGATCCATCCAGGTAGTTTTTCCACCTTCTCTTTCTGTGTGTATGTGCATATCTGTGTGTGTGTGTGTGTGTGTGTGTGTGTGTGTGTGAGAGAGAGAGAGAGAGAGAGAGAGAGAGAGAGAGAGAGAGAAGATCTGGGTGCCAGAGCACATGTGGAGAACAATGGACATCCTTGGGTTATATTCTTGGGTTATATTATGTACTTTCTTGGGACAGGATTTCTTCATTGTTTTTCCATTGTGTGTGTCAGGCTAGCTGGCCTGCAAGCTTCCAGGCATCTTCAGTCTCATCCTCCTGAGGGAATGCTGGGATACTGGTGCTCATGCTGTGCATCTGTCCTTTTACATGAACTCTGGGGATTCGAACTCTGATCCTAATGCTTGTGCAGCACACACTGTGCTGTGTCCACCTAAGCCATTGCCCAACACAGTCTTTAACCTTCTTGAAACACCTCAGTGCATTTCAGTAAGAGTATCTTTTAGTCTTAACTGAAAAAAAAGGGCACTATTTTTAACTGTGGTGAGATAGAAGTCCCATAAAGTAGATTATCTGCACCTTTTATCCATGGCAGCAAAGTGCATTCATGTCCACAAGTCACCCTCTCCGTCACCATCACTCTCCAGATCTCTCATTTGGCAGATCTGGAGTTTGTATCTGTAGGATGCTAGCTTTCTGCTCCCCTTCCTCAGCTCTTGAAAGGCACACATTATATCCCCTTTGTCCTTATGATTTGGGAACCCTTCGAGACTGCCTTTTTGTGCCCAACTTATTTCACTTAGCATTAATGTCTTCAGGGTTCATCCCATTATAGGATACACCAGAATTTCCCTTTTAAGGCTGAGTTGTGTTCTACCGCCTGTCTCCACCACATTGTGTTTGTCCTCAATCTCCCCATTTGTCAACCAGGCTGTTCCCAGGCGCTGGCTGCTCTGAATGTGCCGCCGTGTGCAGTTGTAACTGTTGATGAAGGTTGCACACTCCTGTGTCTAAACCCTCCAGTCTGGTGGCTTCCTCTTTCCTCCTCCTCTTGCTACATAATGGCAATTTCAACATAGTTCTAACTCTGACTGGTCAGCATGCAGCATTGACAAGAATGGGTGGGTGTTCGCGGATTCACCCCTGACTGGGCTGGGGATACAAAGGGAGGTGAACTCACACTGGCTCTTTTTTTTTTCCCTCCCCCAGGGTTTGCAGTCACAGCTCAGGTGGACGGGCACCAGCATCTTAGCCGGATATTTATAAGTGATGTTCTCCCTGACAGTCTGGCATATGGAGGAGGTCTGTACGGTGCTGTGTGTGTGCACACTCTGAGTTTCCAACCGTGAGGGGCATCTGCCTCCTGAGGCTGTTGGGCAGTTTTGTCAGATGATGATTTCTCCTGGAGTTGTTGAGGAAGAATTTACCTGAAAATGCATATGTGTATATATAAAGCTGTGTGTGTGTGTGTGTGTGTGTGTGTGTGTGTGTGTGTGTGTGTAAAGAGAGTATTCTATTCAAACAGACTTGTATGTGGGAGTTCTTGAGAAAGAATTTACTTGCAAATACATATATGTATATATAAAGTATGGTGTGTGTAAAAAGATTTCATACAGATGTGTATATATAAAGGGAGTATTCATACAGACGTGTGTGTGCGCGCACGCGCAAGAGATTTCATGCAGATGTATGTGTATATAATAGAGTATTCATAAAGATGTGTGTGTAAAAAGATTTCATACAGATGTGTATGTGTCTATATAAAGGGAGTATTAATACAGATGTGTATGTGTAAAAACATTTTATACAGATGTGTATTTGTGTATATAAAGGGAGTATTCATACAGATGTGTGTGTGTATAAAAAGAGATTTCATACAGATGTGTGTGTGTGTAAAGAGAGTATTCATACAGATGTCCAGATAGAGGGAGAGGATGTGTGAGACAGAGAGAGGCCCAGAGAAAACATTTGATAAGCATTTCCCCAGCTTGTGTTCAAAACAATCTGCCTAAGGCCAGCTTGGAACTGGGCTTTAGCTGAAACTGCTGGTCAGTGGTTGGCATTTGCAGCTCAATTTTGTCTGAGAATGCATCTCTGTAACCTCCCCCTCCTCTTTCTTCCTGTTCCCCACTTCTTGGTTCTCAGGGCTGAGAAAGGGTAACGAAATCACAACCTTAAACGGGGAAGCTGTGTCTGACCTTGACATCAAGCAGATGGAGGCCCTGTTTTCTGAGAAGAGTGTCGGACTTAAACTGATCGCCTGGCCTGTGGACACAAGAAGAACCCTGTGCACTTCCTGGTCAGACAGTGACCTGTCCTCCAGGGACCGGAGAGGTCTGCCACCCTCTCCCAACCAGTCCCAGCTGCTGGAGGAATTCCTGGATAACTTTAAAAAAACATCCACTAACGGTAAGGCTGTGTTCCGTCTCTGGCTTGAGTTGCTGGTGCCTTTGGCCCATATATTCTTAGGCCAAAGCCTCATTGCAAGTCCAGATTGTTTAAACTGCTACTCAGTCTTTCCTCACTCACTAGGACAAGAACACAGGAACAAACTGGGATACATTTATCAAGAGTCCGTGCATTTTAGCAATTAGAATGCCTTCAGAAAAATTGAAAATAACTACTTTTTTTTTTTCTTGCACAAAATTATCTTTAAAACCCCAGTCTCTTTCAAAGCCATTCACATATTCAGTATTGACATTGTCTGTGACGATTGCGGCCATGAGCTTACATATACCCCAGTACCGGATGATTGTTTTTAGTCGGTGGAATCTGAGGTGAATCCACTTTGCAGTGTTCTGTTTGGGTTCATGTCCTGGAACATGGTACAATTTTGTTGTTGTTGTTGTTGTTTTGCTATGAGGAGGACTGGTCTCTCTGAAACAGCAAACCTTGAATGTAGCTCTCGGACTGACTTCAGAACTTTGTGAAGGTCAGGTAACTGAAGAGTGTCTGTCAGTATAGTTTCCTCCAAGTGAGACACGTGTATGAGGAATCCATGAAGGTGGGTTTTCTGAACTTGCTGTTTCCACCTCTCTGGACTGTTCTGTTTGAATCAGAGGCCCTAGCCCAGTATCTGTCACTTCCCTCTGTCATCATGGAGAGTCCAGGTGAGGTTCAGATGAGGAGCGTAGAGGTGGATCTTGATCCCGGGGACACCGGAACTAATTTTTCACACTGTCTTGCATTGCTAACGGATTTGCAATAGAGATCTCCACATGCTGACCAAGAATGAATGCAAAGTGTAAAAGAGAGGCCAGTAGGATGAATTTAATGATAGAACAGGCTTAAGAGGTCATCTTTGGAATTAAACAGCAGATTGGAAGATTGGTGATTCAACAAGGTATCTGGTGCTTTCTCTTCCTCTCCTGGGTTGTTCTCTCCATTTAAAATATCATGAGGTTGACTGTTGCCATAGAAAAGTGGGTGTCATGAAACAGAAATCATGATGGAGCTAATTCATGAGTGGTGATATTGGGACCATCATTCAGTCTGCTCTAGGTTGCTATTCTGAGCCTGAGTGGCCCGTGTTAATGTCCAGTGTTGGACTGACCGTTCTTCCACTGTGCTTTATCACAATCAGAAAGTACTGCAGCCTGTATTACCTCTCCTATTCTGGGAATGAACCTCTTCAGAAATAGCAAAAGATGCATACAGACTTACTTTTTTTTAACCAGGAAGAATCCATCAGGTGAGTTAAGCTTGTCCACTACTCGCTGTAGTCCTGGACTCTTGTGGCCTCCTAGAAGGCATCCTGTGTCTGTGTGCACAGGAACTCTGCAAAGTGAGGGCTTGGCAAGCTTGTGTGCAGTCCTTCCTTCCTTCCTTCCTTCCTTCCTTCCTTCCTTCCTTCCTTCCTTCCTTCCTTCCTTCCTCCCTCCCTCCCTCCCTCCCTCCCTCCCTCCCTCCCTCCCTCCCTCCCTCCTTCCTTCCTTCCTTCCTTCCTTCCTTTCTTTTTTTCCTAGTGCCCACTTGCCTGGGGCAGTGCAGACATCTGCTGGCACCTTCCCCGAATGGGGCTTCTCCTCCATGAGGCTAGAGTGTGCCAAGATTTAGGCCCCTTTCTCAGACAGAGCACGGGCTCTTGGCCCTCAAGATTTAGGGTTGATCCTTTTTTTGTGAGTTCCAGGTGACCGGTCCATAGTTGTTCGACCATGTGCCATGATGGACTGCTCTTTGATACACTTTGCAAAGTGGAATTTTTTTCCCCTTTTTTGTTTTTAAGGTAGTTGTGGTGTTTGAGGAAAACCGAGTGCTTGGGAACTTTGAAGGTTAAGGGTAGGAATAAAATCTGGGGTGAGTAGGTAAGAAATTGGGGGGCAGGGAAGACAGACTAAGTTTCTCATTTGGACATAACGTCTTGCTTATAAGAGAAGCTTATGTATGGATTCATTAGGACTGGGGTGTGAGGACAGTCACCAGGTCCTGAGTCAGACCTGGACTTGAGGGTGGGGTACTCTTAGGGCAACGTATGTGGCAGTGAGGTTGGGTTGTGGAGGGTGCTAACTCCTTCCCAATCCCTTGCAGAGATGATTTTGAGATGCATGCACAGCATTCTTGAAGTGACCCCCAGAACTGAGTCATGAGTGTACCCAGAATCCTTTTGTACACACTCACAGACCTTCTTCCTGTCTCTCTTCCCTAGTGTGTGGTCGCATTCCCAATAACTTCTGGGGGTTAGTCCTCTACTCAGACTGCCTTTGTGAGCACCTCCATGGTGTCCCCAACTCTGGTATGGCAAGGATTCTAAGCTGGTGACTCGGCCCCCTTCCCTGTCTGCCCCCCCACCCCTGTTTGAAAGCCAGGCATAATGTCTTTCACCACCTGTATCCTAAATGCATGAATTCCAGGCCAGGGTGGGCTGTAAGACCATTTCACAATAAATAACAACAACAATACCAAAACACCTCACTTTGATTTGTTTTACTGTGAAGTAGAAGAAAAGTCTTATTATAAGATTTACACAAATGGACATTTAAATAGCTTTGGAGAACGGATTTTAATATAACTTGGGGCTGTCCTTGGGAGCAGCCACTTTAGTGAGTTTAATCATACATGTCCCACCCATGGACATTTCTAGAAGGCACTGTGGACTTGGAACCGAGGAAGGGAAGTAAGGAAGGCCCCAAGTCCATTCTACGAAGTCTGGGTCTCCACCTAGTGATGTTTCTGAAGGATAAGATCGGCTTTTTAAAAAGGGGAAACTGGAGGAATCCCATGTGGAGCAGGAAGAAAGATGTATGCAGTTGTTGGGGGACATATTTGACCATCTCCGGGAATGGGCGCAGATCCCTTCCTGCTGGGTGTTGATGGGCAAAGCCCTGGAAACAGGCTGCATCCGGCTCTGATCTACTTCTGGTTTTAGTCATACATCCAGACATCTACAGCGGTCTCTTAATTGGCCTCTGATCATAACAGAAATCTTTATCTCTATCTCTGACCAAAAGAAGGGTGGTCACAGCGGTTGGGGGTGGTGGTGGTGTGGTGTCACAAAGGACCTGGAAGTCGTTGTGGGTTGCTATTCTAAAAGAGGTGCCATACTCATATTTGAGAGTCCTTGATAATTAAGACATTTGGTGAAATGAATCTCAAACTCATCTCCCGAGCTTAAAAAAGACAGACTGCTGGGTTCTGGTGTCTCCTGCAGACAGTTAGGATCAGGCTTGGAACTGAGCCACTATTAGGTCTCTGGTCGCCAGGAGGAGGGGACCTATGAGTATTGGGATCATTCCTTCCCCTACCCTCCTGAGCTGAGGTTCCGAGGATCCATTGAGATAATGGTCACATTCTGACTAAACATGGCTGGCATCTTGGGTGGTGTCCATCAGTTAGGGATTGAGCCCTGACCCACCATCATCCTTCAGAACTCTCTGGAAGCAGCTGACACTGGGTTAGTGTTCCTCACTTGTTCCTTGCCCCTGCCAAGGACACATTGACTGTATTAACGTAGGAGGCTGAGAAGAAGATGACTCCCAGTGTCACCTTACTCTCATCGCTCTGGTCCCACAGCAGAAGCCACAGGGCCGCAGTCTGAGTGAAGTGCCTGTGACTCCTAATGAATGAATGGCTCTTTGATTTCTGTCTTACGTGTTTGAATGTCTGTAAGTTATCCATACCAGGGAGAGGAAATGTCCACAGGCTATATTTGACTCAAGTGGAAATACTAGTAAAGGATTTTTACAGAGAGAGTTAATTTTATCACGGGAACTCCCCCAAAGAGGCCAGTGTTATTTTTGACCCAACAAGGCCGCCATTGAAGGAGCTGGGTGTGCCCAAGCTGTTTGTGCTGGGATCCTGTTAATGCTGCTTTTGTGATTTATGCATGAAATCCCCTTTTCTAGCGTTTGCTGGCTCTTGAGCAATCTCAGCAGCTTTTGGGGATGTCTCCCCAGGCGTCAAGTTTGTGAACGAAGTTTTTATGCAGTCATTAGACTCCCTGTGGCATTCATGTTTTCTCCATGCAAACAGCTGTTACTACGGCCTTGTGAGGGCCAGAGGTTCATTTAGCAGGAGGGACATAGAGACCAATGTTCCTGTTGCTTGGGCTTATACACAACCAGCGCTTTCAGACCCAGAAGGTAACTATAGCCAGGGGTGTTTGGACAGCCCCTGGCCTCTTTTGAATCACTTGTTCTGAGCTGGTATCTGGTGGAGAGTCTGAGGCTATCAGAAGCCACTTGGATGTAAATTTCTTCCTCCTCCTCCTCCTCCTCCTCCTCCTCCTCTTCTTCCTTTTTGTTTTTGACACAAGGTCTCACTATATAGCTCTGGCTACCCTGGAGCTCACTATGTAGATCAGGTTGGCCCTGAATTCACAGAGATCTGCTTCTGTCTCCTGAGTCCTGAGGATAAAAGCATGCATCGCAACGCCCAGCTTGTAAATTTGTTCTTAAGGGTGGCTTTTTGGGGAATGTATATGTCTATGATACTGGAGCCAGCTCTACTGTGCCACACCCACTTACTTCCTGTTTGTGAGTGGGAGGGCAGTCTGGCCTCCATGAGATGTTTTGAGTAACCAACAGCATTGATTTCTGGGAACACTGTTTCTGTATAAAACAGCGATTACTGAGTCTGTCTGACCAATACCCCAGTTCCCAGATTTTAAAACATCAGTGTCCCTACAGAATGGAGGGTATATTTGTTTAATAATAATAATAATATAATAATAATAATAATAATAATAATAAAAAATCCAATTGGGAAATACTAACTTGAGCTGGAGTCAGAACTCAGCCTCAGAATGCCAAAGTCTTTCTAGCTGAGCTGAAGGTAGCTTTTAGCCCACCAGGGAAGTGAGCATGTGAGTTGCTTCTTGGCCACAGTTAAGTGTGGAATTGAGGGTGTGGTGTGTTGCTACCAGTGGTAGGAGTTGAGGTCCTTGGATGCAAATTCCCTGTAAAACTAAGTTT